AGGCATGGTCAAACCACATGGCCCACAATTAGGTACAGCGCAAGTACCTCCACATGGTCCACATGGTCCAGATGGTCCACATGGTCCACATGGTCCACATCGTCCAGGTCCACATGGTGCACAACGTCCAGGTCCACAAGGTCCACAAGGTCCACAGCGAGTTTCACAGACTGGATATTGATTAGTAGAGAAGCAAGGAAGAGGACAACAAGCTCCACTAGGTGCACAAGGGCCTATAGGACACGGTGGACACGCAGCACTTGGCTTGTAGTTTATTGGCCCATTGGGATAACAACAATATTCTCGTGGAGGTGGTATATCGATTGTTTGTGGTTTTGGTTGGCACAAAATAGACTGACAAACTTCCCTGGGTTCGCAAACTCGTTTCGGATAGCACACTACATAGGGATCTGGGATCATAGATGGATAATATATAACGCGTGGCTCCCGAACCATTTGTGAGACCCAAATAAGTTTTGGAACCTTAATAACACGAGTTGCGTCCACCACTTTCGGTACAGTAATTTGACGACATCGATTTACGACCATAGGCTCAGGTACAATTTTCTCCGTAAAAACTACACGCTTTTTGCATATGAGCCTCGGCGGTTGCTGTACAGTTATACATTTCGGAAACGGTGGTGGTATGCGAGGTGCACATTGCGGTAAGGCCTCCAATTGAGCAGCATTATAACACTTAGGAGAGCATTCAAAGGGTCCACAGCACGGATCACATGGGCTACACGGTCCGCAAGGTGAGCACATGATTTCAAACAGAAATAATTTGCTTCGCTTTAATATACAAAAATTTTAAATTTTGTTGCAACAATTTGGATGCCGATCGAATTGAAAATGATCAAGTGAGCAGTCCCAGCCATAAAAACAACACTTTTTCTGGCCAAAATGTCAAAGGTCACTCAGTTTTAAAACTCATTCGTACAATTTAAATGAGTATATTGAATTTGTATAATGTTCGCCTTGTGTAATGCAATCTTATGCGACGGCAGAGAAGCTTGAAAGCCGAACGTAGTCTCGTGCTTATCTTCGAATTATAAACTGTGAGGAGCAATATAGGTATGCACATATTGATGTATATGAACGTACGTATTTGCTGTGCGTTTATATGCATATACGTGCATATAC